CAGCATTTGAAGCAAATCGCAACACAATATTTCCAGCTTTTTTAATAAATTTATTCTTAAATACAAAAATAATTAAACAGGAAAAAATTATAGTAATAATTTTTTAAAAAAATATAGACAGAAAGTAATAATAATAATTTACACACAAAAAATAAAATTTTTGCAAGCATGTATTTTTTAAAGAATTTTCATAATGAAATGAAAAATATTGGATGGGATCAATCATCTACAGGATCATACACAGCGTGCATAATCATGAGCTTAACTTCCGCTTTACGAGTTTCATCCATATTTTTCATTATAAATTGAAAAACTCATTAAAAATGCATTAAAAGCTCATTAAAAAATGCATGTCATCATCGCAGATTTCTTGCGAGATCAACTCTTTATTTCGTTCGGATACGATTACAACTCATTATTTTGTTCGGATACGATTACAACTCATTCGGATACGATGTGTTCCACATTAAAAAAAAAAAAGTCGCTTTCGATGTGACAGCGAAATCGTCTAAAGAAAGCCGCTTCGTTTTAGGTTCGCTCTGATTGGTCGACGCTTATCCCAAACTCGGCGTAAAGTTGAAAACTTCGAACCCTATGCCCCGAGCTCTAAACCAGATTCTGTGACGTAGCAGTGACTTGTTGCCTTGGCAACGGAGGTCGGCTTTAACCACTTATGTCCTTTACGCCCTCGTCTGAACGGGGCCTCAGGGCACAGGCTCTTGAAAAAGGAAAAGTTCTTTAAACTTAATGCGTTTTTTGTTTTTGAGAAGGATTAAAAGCTGAGACTTACTGGCGTTAATTTTAACTCTCTAATTGGTGCCCCAGTCCTCTATAGTGTAAAGAAAATCTTGCATTTTATCAATTGCATAATTAGCTTTGATAGACTTGATGGCCATCGGCGTAGCATGCAAGAAGAGAGTAGTTGTCAAGTCCAGGATGAGGAAAGTTTGAGATATAAAACAGTTAAAGAACCAGTCCGAAGATGCTTCCTTGTGGGACACTAGATCTTATAGGTCTCAGAGTAGAGGTTTCATTGTCTACTGAGACGAAGAACTTGCAATGTTGCTAAAAGGAATAAATCAGGAGAATTAATTCTCTAGGCAATCCAAGGTTGATGAGCTTGAAAACAAGTCCCTCATGCCAGACGCGGTCAAAGGCTTTTGCCACGTCTTGTTACGAAAAGCAGACCCGATGAATTCCACAATCCTGATCAGTTGACGAGTGGTACTGAGATTTTTACGAAAACCATATTCATCATTAGGCAGACGATGCATATAAGGTTCTAATCTTATGAGAATGAGACGTTCATAAATTTTTTCCGAGGTTTATAATTTACTAACTGGTGTCTTTTCTTTATATATATAAGCGGCTAAAGTGTGTGTCGCCGATAGTTTAGTGTTGCCACTCGGAAAAATGAGGGCGGAAATTGACGTTTCCGCAATTTTTAATTAACATATCGGCTGATTAAAGTCGTACGATCTCTCTCTCTCTCTCTCTCTCTCTCTCTATATATATATATATGCGGCTTAAGTGTCTGTTTGTCGCCGATAGTTTATTGGTTGCTTGCGTAACTTTACTAGCCAATGGGATGAAGTTGCCACGGCACATGTTTGCCGTTTCAATTGAGACGCAGACAACTTCCTGTAAAACTTGCCTTTGCTATAACCATCAATAAGTCTGAGGCCCAAACGCTTAAGCGTGTTGGCAGTTTTTTTACCTGAGCCTGCATTTGGACACGGTCAACTTTATGTTGCCTGTTCAAGAGTTTGTGAAAGAACGGACGTAAAATTAAAAATAATTGATGGTCCTCTGCAAGTAAAAATGATGGAAAGATCTACACAAGAAATGCTGTGTACAAAGAGATCTTTGACATGTGAATATTTAAGATTTCATTATTTAAATCACCTTTACTGATTGAGCTAGCGGTGGGCTCTTAAGAAATGTACCGCCAGTGGTTTCCTTCATTGCATTCTACTTTAAGCAATTAAACAAGTAGACAAGGGAAACCCCGTGGGCCAGCAAGCAAATGGGCGTCCTCGCCGCCTGCCCTGGGTAATTCAGTTTAAATTAGCAGACACCTTTGCCCAAATCATTTTAATTACAATTTATAATATCTAGAACAGCGGTCATTTCGTATGACCGCCAGGCTTTCTAGTTATTCGTATTCGCAAATGAGTTGCTTGCTGTTGAGTATCATTTTTTGCCAGACTTTAAATACATAAACTAGAGAATTTTAGTTTACTTAATAACTGTCAATGTTAATTTAAGTTTCTTCCATTAGTACGATATGTGGGAACGCAAATCAAGTTTCTTAACTGGTCATATTCTTTAATCATAGACCATTTTTTATATATCATGGGGGGTAAGACATTTTGAAATAAATCATCCATAGGGAGCCCTCGAGAGCTTAGAAGTAGATCCGCGCTTTGCATTAATCTATTCCTGTAACATGAGCAGGTGTCTTCAACCTCAAAATCAGTTTGCACTTGATAGCTCTCAGTATGGATGTGCATGGTTTTCTAGTGTTAATGTGTGCAATACATACGAAAGTGAACCGCATAAAAGGGGATAAAGCAAGTAATTACCTAGCGAAAAGTGATCGGGAGAAAATGCTGGTGGAAATGTCTTACAAGATGCAATATGCAAACTTTTCAACAAAATATCGTATTAAAGTTTCTTGTTAACTATCCAAATACATTCAAGGTTTGCATGGGGGTAAACTACAAAAATCCCATTCGCTGACCAACTTACTCATCAGAAATATAATGGAACAACCAATATTCTGTGGCCTAAGTTCGGCGTTTTCGAACTCAAATTGCATGAGAGTCGAATGCACGATCTAAAAACAGCTGATGGGCCGAATTTTTCTATTAATCACCGAAATGAAAAAGCTTTTTTAAAATAAATCTTGGATTTTATTTACCAAATGCTTATGAAACATACATGGAAGGTAATGATAACGACATTAAATGATAAATTCCTATTTATTTTCTGTGCAAAATCTAATTACCGAGATTTGCAAGAAATTTCTGTTGGGCACAATTTGGAAATCTAACGTACTGATAGCTATTTATTAAATTTTCTTTGAAGCATGCAGAAAATACATATTTTTATGAATATAAACTTTATTTCTAGCCGTAGCATCTCATGGTGTTTCGATGTAGTTTGCAATACTGGAGGAAATCTATAATCAACTATATATGAATTACAGATGCTCATCGATCAGCCCCCTTTTTTTTTTTTTAAACTCCGTTTCCAGTTGCGGGAGGGGTGTGGACTATTAGTATAGAAATGGTTTCCTAAAAGCGATTATGATCACTGTAAAAATTTATAGCCGAGATATTTATTTTTCGGGGGGGGTGATAAGTCCGAAAAACGGTTAATCAGACCTGCATCTTTAAATCTGAATAGGGTTTACATTGCAGTGTAAATTAAATAACTCCATTTGGAGATTTTGTGGGACTTTATTCACTTTTTTAATGGCAATAAAAATTATGTAAATCATTAAAATCTTAAACACTTCTTCAAATTCTCACCATAACAAATAAGGTCGTAACAATTCTAATTAATTTACAGGAAATGTGTTGGCAGGTCGCCTAAAATTGCTTCGGAGCCGCGAGTTTGAGAGCCCTGGTGTAGATATTCAGCATCTGTTGGGGTAATTCATGAAGCAAAATTTTTGTAAATGCTTTGTTCTGCATTGAAATTTGCTTCATAACGAGGTTTTCGATTTGAGGTTAAAACTCTGGAAGGTTGTTTTTTAACTTAACATAAGCGATTGAAGTTTTTGACTCAAATCTGGGTTTGTAAAAAATAGATTGGTTGATTCGACAGAAAGTTGAAATTAAAACCTCAAGTTTATTTGCGTAAAGAAGCTGTGCTTTCAAAGAAACTTTTCGAAGAGAAACCAACCCGATTTATGTTACAGTTTACGCTTTCGTCCAGTGGGCTTTTGTCTGGTCACCGGAGAAAAAGCATACGCACATGGCGTGCACACTCGGATTTCATTTGGGGTCGTATTACGAGTATTCATTGGTCATACTCGGCAACTAAATGTAGATTTTATCGAAAAAAAAAAAAAAAAAAAAAAAAAAAATCCATGTTTATACAATAACTAGCAAAATTGTGAAAAAACTGTAGAACATTTCAAATTTTTATCTAAAATTATGACAAAAGGAATTCTGATTCACCGAGGACTTCAAACGAGTCTTTCTCCTATTCAGAAAGGCAGTTCAAATTACCTTAAATCGATTATGGATTGTAGAAACTCAACATCAGATTTTGTACGTGATCCAATATATTTGACACTGTACAATAGATTGAGATGTACTTTTAATTTTTCTTAAAATCGAAAAGTTAGTTCAGTTTCTATAATGTTGAATGTTCTTTTCTTTCTGTTCTACCTTTCATTTACTTTCTTGATATAAAAAACCGATTATAAATAAAATATTTTTTATAAACAGTAGAGGTTAAAATTTAAACCTTGCAGTTTCGTATAGAAGAAATAAAATTATTATGATGGCTTCTATCAAAAGACTCATAAAATATCCAATTTCTTACTATCCTTTGAAGTATTACTGAATCAAGTTTTAAATGTTGTGTTAGGTCAGGTCGAAGTGCAGTGGACACCTAATGTTTAACCATAAGTAATGAGGCTATAGTCCAATTGCATATCATAGTAACTATTTAGACCGCAGCACACAGTGTTGAAAAAATGCATTCTTGCTTAAACTTAATACTACAAGGATGCTTACTAATGCAATGGGAATTACATCAGGGCTGGCGCTAGACGTTTTGCTACACGATACAATATCCGTGGCTTGTAAATTATGCCGCCCAATCCTTGTCTAAATTCTAAAAATTTTGCCACCCCTAAAAGTGCCGCCTGGTGCAGGCGCAGAGATTGCACTGGCTCTAACGTCGCCCCTCTTCACTGTTAATAGTAAGAAATCAAACAGCCGTATTATCCCAGAAAGAAACCTTTAAAAACTTGCTGAAATTTCAAATATTTATTTGCAGCAATAAAAGACAATTAGGAATGCTAGACATTTAAATTTAAAAGTAACAAAAAGGAATGCTGGGATTAAGAAATATAGTAAAAGCTTAATTGTTAATTTGTTTTACGTATAATTTAACAGCCAGTTTACACAATCGTCTAAGCATGTGTAATTACTTAAGGCGTACACAGCTATGTAAATAGCAAAAATTTTATATAATTTTACAGGACGAAAGGTTCTTCCTTTTGAGCCTTCCCCGAAATGAAACCATCTGCAGAAGCCGTTAATAAGCTGACAAGCTCCTCGACCTGGAGAAGATCGAGATAGACCAAAACTTTCGGGAATTTCTAGTTTTTCGCTCTCTGCTTTAACGGAAAATTTTGGAGATGAGGGTATGTCCGATGAGCCTTTAGGTTCCTTAATTTCCACGCCTGCACATATCCTTGGATCAGAATTAATCAAATGCACGATATCGTTGAACCAGTTATCCACAATTAGGAAAGCATGTATTCGCTGACTTTCTAATATATCGTTGTTGGAGACTTTCAGGGCATCAAGCCATGTTAATAGTACCTGAGACTCCTCATGAAAAGTTAAGAGAGACTGTTGCGTTGGAAGTTTAAATTCATTAATTACAGTTTCTTTAATGCTTTGTAGATAATCTTTAGCTTCTTCGTTTTGAATTTCCATCCTGTGAATAGTAGTAAACACAAATTTCTTGAAATGAAACTCTGCTTCTGTATAGAGGATATCAAGTTTTTCTGCAACAGAAGGTGCTACTCTGATGGATTTAGTTTTTTTTATGTTGCTTCCTTTTGAAGATGTTGCTGGAGTGTTTTCAATGGGAATTTCTTGGCTTGCCATATTACAAGTACCTGGAAGGAATAAAAAAAAACACTGAAAGTTCATGTTGCGTTTACATTAAATTGAGTAATATTAATGCGAATATATCAGAAAACTTTGGGGTAAAAAAAGGTTCATCTTGAAACTTATTCCCCGTTTCATTTTTAAAAATTAAGTCCATTGATCCCCAAATAAATTCTGTAACGCGAATTTAAAGCCTTAATGTCATTTGAGTTATAAATTAATTTGTGAACAGTAATATAATATGAGAGCACGTTTTAATTTAAATATAAGGAACTGATCTCTAATTCGTAACCGAGTCTGATAAAAATAAAAGCTTTAGTAGATTACAGTTAAAACCAGTTTCATTTTTGCGAATAATTGAATGGAAATTAATAATTATTAATATAATTTTAAATGTTTTAGTTTATTATACATTTAATCCAATGATTACATGTCTAGGCTTTAGCAAAAGTATATAATACATGCAAGTCTGGAATGTACTCTATGTAGTTTTACCGACATTTTCAACAATGTTTAAAATATACAGAAAGGCAAAAATCGCGTTAAGGGCCATATACGAAAGTTAAATTGCAAGTCGAATTGGTTTTCTGATTTATATACAAGATGAGCTTAATTGGAATATGATAACTTAAAAACCGCGAAATAAAATTTGTTCAAATGATTAATATTAGAGCTCATAAAAATTTTGAAGTTTATTTTCTCTTCCGTGGGGGGTTAACATATTATTGTTAAACTTCTCGTTCACGAAAAAGATGCGAAACGAATAACTTCTAACTTAATGAAAAAAAAAAAAAAAAAAAAAAAATTAAAGCGTTATTAGGGCCAAAAAGATAACTTATCAAATGAAGAGAAATTTAAAATAAACCAGGACGTATTAGAAATAAGAATGATGCATTAAATATATAGACCATATAAATGTTAACTCTTCTAGAACAATGAAGACAATCATGTTTTGAATCCATCACGTTTATATAGCGTCTGCCAGTCTCCTGGTGGATTTGAAATGCAAAGATGTGCTTGATTGTCAAGACAGCCTTTTGTTTATCCCAATTTGTCACAGGTAGTCAAAACATCCTACAAAACCGTCTTACGCATATGCGCGATTTCACAGTTAAAGAGTCTTATCTACGGTAATTCTAAGAAACGAAAGAGACGTAACATTTTTATGCTTGTCCTAGAAGTAAAATGAGCTTTCGGATCTCCAGCGAAAACATATTAATGCGCGTCTTTTATAAACTTGAAAGTAAGTAAAGGAACTTTCGCAAACTACTAGATTTTCGTAAAACGGCTGGATACCTTAATAACTGAATTGTAGTTACAAATAAAGTTGTGTAGTAAGTTACCTTTCAAGTTAGCACAAGCTTAAATTTGAACTGATCCTGCTGTGGCCCTTTTCAGATATTAAGAATTCGGTAATGCTCAGATGAGATTTTCGTGTGACCAGTACTAGTTAAGGTTTTTATTGACAATGCTTTAATAGCGATGGGGAAATTCCAATAATCGTTTTATATCCACGTTCAATGAATCGTTTTTCCACGATTAAAATTACGAAAAATTTAACCTACTGAGCGGATGAACGCCTTTACCCAATCATGAGATATTCTATTACTTGGTATAGGCTTGGTAAAGAAATTACTTGGTTTGCTTATAGTTTAAATGTTTTTAATGGCGTAAAAATGGACGCCTATGAAAACCGACTGAAGTAATTACACAATATATTTAACAAAATCTTTAAATAAACTTTCACGAACAGATTAAAAAAGCCGTGCTTATTAGGTTAGAAAGAAAGCGTAGAGTGTCAATTTATCTGTGATTTAGCAACACTTGTGTCTTACGTTTGTCTTTTGAAGCTTACCGGTATAGTAATAAACGTCTGAGAACTCTTGCTTCCATGTACAGTGCATTTAAATTACGACTACGACTTTGTTAAGAGCCACCAAAATTTGTTTAACGTATTTTATGTATTTTGATGCAATTAACCTCATTAGAAAAATTACTTCAAATTTCGATTCAATTATTTGGTACTTTTCCGTTTCGCCGGCGCAAATCTCGCCAAGCAGACTTACAGCATACAGTATACACATAAAATATTCTTAGAACTAAAATTTTTTATTTTGAAGGCATAAACATATTAATACGACTTAAAAGTTTGTAAAAAGGCAACAAAAAAGACAAATTTGTAAAGACAAATTTAAGAATTTACTATGCTTTCATGGTTCATCATCCTGATTCGCCGGTTCGTATCACGTGACCCAAAGTGATCTCATCTCACGTAAACTACGCTACAAAATATAATTCTCTCGGTAATTATCTGCATTAATTTCAAGTTAAATCTTTATTTGAAGTACAAGTTTAAATGCAAGAATTATTTCAATTCGTACGAATAGGTTACTCAGAAATTATGCAAAACCGCAGTGCTTTACTACTTCGCTAGTGCATTCTCATTAAATTGATGAATTCTCATTAAATTGATGAACTCTTAATTTTGCCTTTTCCTATATTTTCGCCTTTGGGCGAGCGGTCTGATTGCATCCTAATTGACTTAATTATCGGAAATGGTCTTAGGGTATAAAATTTAACTATCTTTTTGTAAAAATTTCTATGTAATTGTATGCCAGTATTGAAAGAAAACAATCAATATGATAAGAAATGGCTGCGACTTGTTTTGAAAATGAAGCGTAAAAGGTTACCAGCGAAGACATTCCTTTTGGCATCAGTTGTACCATAATTGGCGACTTTATCGTTTGCGCCGGCAAAACGGAAAAGTACCAATTATTTTACTTTTGAATATGAAGCTCATTTACCGAAAGTTCTTATGCCATTAAGTAAACTCGCGAAAGAAATCTGCATTGAATTTTTCCGTTAGTAATGTGTCGTAATTCCACTTTTCTGAATTGCTAAACAGAATTGTGAAAATACGAAGCTTGAAGAAACCTCTTAAAAATCATGATACTTCAGAAGTGAATGTAGCAAAATTGATAAATTTATTGGAACTTACTTCTCTAAAATACTAATCACAATTGGCGACTATTTAGGTCTTGCAAGAGCACGTAATACTACTATTGGCTTCTTTCTAACTTTCATCATTTCATGGTCTGAATCAGATGGCTTCGCAAGTCGCAATTTTGGGGTTTTACTTTAAACGTTGAATCAGTGGATTGGGCGAAATGATTCTCTTACCTTGCGCCTTTAACATTATTCCCTTGGAGTTTAAGCTATATAAAGAACAATATCTATCGAAATAAATTCCGTGACATTAAATTCTAAAAGTGCGTTCTTCAAACTTTATAGGCCATCGCAACCCTTTATTCAATCATATTTTTGCAACTCCCCGCTTTCTTGATAAGTACAAATACATAAAACTTATTATTTAGTACATAATTTATTAGCTCTGATTAATTATGGCAATGATGAAAGTATTTCAACACTTGTAAAAATTACAAATTTAATCCAGTATTTAAATTTTTTTGTTAGAAGAAGGATGTAGTTTAGTATCGTTATTTAATACAGTTGTATTTAGTTTCTTTGATGTCTTGTAATCCACAGGAGGAGGAATTTTCGAGTTTAAACAGAATATTAAATTTTATTTGGATTTAAATATCAAAAATTTGTCTGCGTATACAGTATTATACTGGTAACTTCGAAATCTGTCTGCAAGAGAAAAAAGTGGCACTTGCATTTCCGAGAACCAGGACTAAAGAGAAGGGCTAGCTCATAGAGCGTTTCCCCCTGAAACAGGCAGTGAGGAGTGATGACGTAGCAATGATGGCACTGAGCGCGGAGATGCAATTGACAACATAGAAATTAGCGTTTTAAATTTGAAGAATCAGCGTTTAAAATGAGCTGTGTGTGAAAGGTAGCTATAATTTGGAAGAGACAATGTTACTGCAGTATGCATTTTACACTGAACATTACAAAATTTAATAGTACTTACTCAATTTTAAAATAATAGATAAAATGCGCTACTCTTTGCATAAAGTTCCTTTTTTTATTTGGAGGGATTTTTTTTTCTTTAAATGCCTGTTTGTTTCTAATCATTTCTTTATCTGCATGTTAACTAAGAGAACTGTACTACTGCTAAGATAACTATAATAACAGCTATTTAAAATTAATCAAAATAATAACCTTAAATTGGCATAGTTTTAAACGTGTATGGTTATATATGGCAAAATTTCTGCTAATCTAAGTTTGAGTTTCAGCCTAATTGTAAATTTTACATTAGCATATTTTTCTCCCGATTCATTATAATAACATATTTTTTTAAAAATAATTTTGTAACTTAGGCTTACATCAATATTTCATTTAAATAAATACATGTAAGATTGTTATCTTAATTTAGACAAAACAACTTTATTCACAGTACCTAAAATAATTATTTAATTTTTTCAAAAGTGGGGGTTAAGGGGGCAGGTCTTCTTATGCCAATTACTTTAATATTATACTTTATATATATTTTATCTAGAATGCTAAGCTAGCACAAAATTGAATCAATAATAACAGAGGATACAATAAAAATAACTGTAACAATATCTTAACAGAATTAGTTCTCATTTGAAATATACTTTACGCTATTAACTTCTAAAATGCAATCTAGAAATATTTCAAATCAAAACATATTATATATACTTACTTTTCTCTCGTTTCCCTTGACCATTAAATAATTTGGTTTTAGTTTGTGACACAATTTAATTTCTCTGAATTACTTAAAACCTCTGTAATAATCTTAACATTTAAAACAGTTCCATCTTCTAAAACAAATCCTTTATCTAAAAAGTGGTTTCTCAGTAATTTGAGCCCACCAGAGGCGAGCGGTAAAGTCGCTGAACACTGGTAGTTCGGTCCGAGTTTCGAATCCCGCGAACGGGCTGGCTGCATGGGCGTTTTCGTGGTTTTCCCCATGTGTAACGTGTATACGAGCCAGTTTCCCTTAGAAAGTCCTCCACGAAGGCATCCCTTCCCTTAGGCAGATAGCCCTAGTGTGCTTTGTCATAATTAAATATACCAACAC